ATGACAGTTAAGTCACCTAAGATGGACCCCAGGGACCAGGACAGGGCAGGCCCTGAGAAGACACATCCACACGTACACATATTCTTACCTGGGTCAACGGTCACTTTAACTGGGACGCCCAGGTCAGTTCCAAATCTCTCAATCCCACACCAGTAAGTGTCTGCATCGTTCAGCCTGAGCTTCTCCATGGTCACAGTGAACGAGCGATTTTTCTGATTGTCCTTGATGGACACACGGTCCTTCTTCACCTCCTTCTCTGATCCAGTGGTTTCAACAACGAACTTGCAGCTGCCCCAGTGAGCTCCTCGACACCACCACTTCACATGGGTCTCCCACCCAGGGCCATATCGACACTGCACAGTCAACGAGCCCTGCTCCAGGCCTCTCACTGCTTTTGGACCCGTGATGGCAGCTGAACCTGGAAAACACAAACCATGCACCTGTCACCTCCCACCCTGAGGGCAGGGCCACAGCCTCCTGCATTGTGGAGAGTTTCACTAGAACTAAGGGCCTGAGTAAAACTGAAGGAGGGAATATTCCTTACACACGAAGACATTTTGTCCTTCAAACTTCCACTGGGTCAAGCCACCAGGAAAATCCTATAAAAGCACAACCACAGATCTCAAGGAAACAAAATGTTGACACTGAGCAATAATAGCTTCCTGTAGTTCACCCCTTCTCCCTGTGTATGCCCAGTAAGTCTTTATATTTCAATCAATTTTTGTTTGTTGGTTTTGCGATCGTCTGTGTTATGCTGGCCTGATGGGGAGGAAAGACCAGAGGACCCATTTCCACGGAAGATGATTTTGTACTGATGACCTCAGAGGTCCAGGTGAAGAGGCCCCATCACCCAGCTGTTCCTAAGAGAAGCTGTTCCTAATGGTTCTAATTGCTTCTAGTGGTTCTACGATAAACCACCCTGGCAGGAATGCCTCTGAAGTCGACCAAAACAGGGATGCCAGTTGGCCCCCCACACTGTGGAATCCACATCACACAGGTCTTGTCGTCTTCCCATCGAATTGCTTTGGTTCCTTTGTCAAAAAGCAAATCTGTGAGTTATTGATGGATTCCCCATTCCATTCCATTGATCCATTTGTCAGTCCTTATGCCAGTCCATCCTGTCTTGAACACTGTAACTCTGCAGTAAGGCAGGTATCAGAGTAAAGCAGCATTTTCTTATATGTTCTTCTTCTTTCCTTCACTTCCTCACCCTTGAAAGACTCAGGATACAGAGCGTTGTTTCTTTACTGTAAGAAAATAACACTCACACAAGATGGAAAATGGCAGCGGTCACTAGGTCTCAGCGTCAGACCCTGGGAAGTAGCGAGGACCACGGCAATCCAGAGAGCAGATGCCCCGGGCAGAGGCACGGCCCTGTCCCCCTCAGCCCATTGTCCTCATGCAGGAGGCGGGCAACATAATTTTGAATCTTTTCATTTTTCTGGAGTAGCCCAAAATCTGGGTTTGGGGTTGGAACCACTCGATTTTAAACCATTGGCTTGTTTAGAAGCAGCAGCGATCCAGCCTGTCACAAACTCTGTCTGCCAGCCGAACCTGCTGTCCGGGCTCAACTCAGACCCATCCTCCTAAGGGAGGTTCTTTCTGTCGTTTCCTTTGTGCGTCTTTATCAGGATTAATAGTAGAGACCTGCTGCTTTCACACAATTGACCTGGCAGACTTCCATTTTTTGGTGCTCTGAGATCACAACACAAAGAGTGCAAAGGAATTTTTGTTTCTTTAGGATCTTAAAAATTTGTCCACAAAACTATCTGGCAAATCTTTATTGGGGCAAATTCTTTGACTACTTAAATTTTTTTTCTCCATGAATATTGACTTATTCAAGTTTTTTTTTCTCATTCTTTAATAAATTATATTCTTTTGTTTTCTTTTTCCCTCAAAGTTACCTATTTTCTGGAGTATATATTAGCCTAAAATTCTGCAATTATAAAGCATCCTCTTACAATTAAACTTTTGATACCTTTTATAATAACAAATTTTGATTACACACGCTGTTTATTTTATTGATTACATGTGCCATAATATTCCCTTCCTCACTGATTTTCCCCTTCCTACTTTTTTCCTGTGTTAAACCATTTTGAGATTTAGTTAGTAAATTTTGCTTTTTTTATTTCCTGAATTATTAATTTCTCACATGTATAATTTCATTTCCTTGAGATTACTGCTTGTTATCTTTTCCTAATTTGCTAAGTCAAAGACTGTGATAATTTTCTTCCTTTCTAAAATTAACTGAAGTGCGTATAAGGCTAAGGACTTACTTTTTTGCCCACTTTTGAACTTGAGATATATATATATATATATATATATAATTTCCTATCATAGATTTTATCTTTGAAAGTGGTCAGTGGTCTTTAAGATATTCTCAAAGTTGTGCAACCATTAACTCTATCTAATTCCAGAACGTTTTCATCAACTCAGAAAGAAACCCTGTACCCATTAGCAGTGATTCCCCACTTCTGTCTTCCCTGAAGCCTTTGGCAACCACTAACATACTTTCTGTCTCTATGGATTTGCCTTTCTGAACATTTCATGTAAATGGAATCAGGCAGTGTACCACCTTTTGTGTCTGGCTTCTTTCACTTAGCATAATGTTTTACAGATTCACCCATGTTATGATGTGTCAGTGTTTCATTCCTTTTTATGGCTAAATACTATTCCCTACTATGGATATGCCACATTTTGTTTATCCATCCATCAGCTGATGCCATTTGGGTTGTTTCTACTTTACATACCACTTTGGAACACTGTAAAAGTGGTTTTCTTATAAAACAAATCATACATCTGGAAATTCTACTACTAGGTATTTATCTAAGAGAAATAAAAACAAATGTCCACAAAAAAAAAGAATTTTCATAGCAGCTTTATTCGTAATGACCACAAATTAGAAGTAACTCAAATGCCCACCAACAGGAGAATAGATAAATGGTGGCATATTCACAGCAATCGCATACTACAAAATAATAAGATACAATGAATTAGTGACATACAAAACGACATGGATGAATCTCAAAAACATGCTGAGTGAAAGATCAAAATAGAACACCCTTCATGATCCCACTTATGTGAAAGTGCACATCAGGCAAAGTAACCTCTGGTGATAGAAATTACAGAAGTGATTCATGGGTCAGGGAAAGACTAGAAGGCACTAAGGAACTCTGGGTGATGGAAATGTTCTGTATCTTGATAGGAGTTACAAGTTACACACATCTGTTGAAACTCATAGAATTGTACACTTAAAATCTATACATTTTACTATATGTAAATTATACCTTCGTTTAAAAGAGTCTTGTGGGATGCATCTAGAGTTATGCTTAAGGACATTTTATGGTATTAAATGCATATGTTAGGAAAAAAAGGGCTTAAATTTAATAAGTTAAACATGTATTTCAAAAGTTAAAAGAACAGAAGGAGAAGTGGGAAGAAAGAAGAAAGGAGAAGAAAGGAAATAATAAAGTTTTTTAAATTTAATTAACTACTTTATTTGGGTTTATTTATTTAATTAACTACTTTTTTTTTTTAATGGAGGTCCTGGGGATTGAACCCAGGACCTCGTGCATGCTAGGCATGTGCTCTACCACTGAGCGATACCCTCCGCCAAAATAATGAGGTTAAAAAAATCAATGAAGTAGAAAAAAAGATATATATAAGGAAAAATCAACAAAGCCAAAAGTTGGTTAAAAGTAAATAAATAAATAACCCTAGTAAGATGTTCGTGATAGAAAGAAAGAGAACTAAATGATGAATATCAGGAATGAAAATGGGGACATCACTATGTATCCTGCACACCTTAGATAATAAAAGGATAAGGTAATAATGGGATAGGATACTAAAAGGACATCTAAACAAGATTATGCCAATAAATTTGAAATTTTAGGTGGAATAGGTGCTCGGCAAAAATAATACAAAATGCTAAAATAGCACAAAAAGAAACAGAAAACATGAATAATCTTACAGCTACTTAAATAAATCAAATCCATTATTAAAAACCTCCACAAAAGAAAACTCCAGACCCATACAGCTTCAATGGAGATAGCTAGGAAACACTGAAGGAAGAAATAATGTCTATCCTACACCAAAAAATTCTGGGACAAAGGAAAAGAGGATGCAATCCCAAATGCACTCAGTGAGATTAGCATAATCTTAATGCCAAAATCTGACAAGGGCAGAGCAAGAAAGAAATATTACAGGCAGATATCACCTATGAACATATAGTGCAAAGTCTGAAACAAAAAAATCACCCTGCTGAATCCAGAGACATTTAAGAAAGATAATGCATCATCACCAAGTTGGATTTATGCCAAGAATGCAAAATTGTTTGGCTGTTAGATAATCAACGAGTGCAATGTGCCTCATTAACAGAGTAAAGGAGAAAAATCATATGAGCATCTCAACAGATGCACACAAAAGTACCTGAGAGAATTCAACACCTATTCATGGTTTTTCAAAGCTCTTAGCACAATAAGAGTAAGACTTCCTTTATCTTTATCTATTAAAAGCCTCAGCAAATACCACAATTGCAAGACATTGGTGTGCTTTATAATAATGTGTAAATCTGGACATTGATTCTGTATCCACATATCACTGTGTATATGTGATATTTTCTACAATGAAGAAATTTTTAAGATAAACCAACAGCCAAATTATTTTTAACAGTGAAATACTATAGACGTTCCAAATGAAATCAAGAACATGATTTCCCTATATGTATATATAATGAGTTCCCAATATATATAGTAACTTGATGTTGGAAATTCTGGCAATGTAATGAGACATGGAAAAATAGCATATAATTATTGGGGGGAAATAATAACATTTAGAGACAAATTTTAAATCTAAGTTTTAAAGTATTTTAATTTATAATGGAATTTAATAGAGTGGCTAAATACCCAATAAATATATTGAAATAAATGGCTTCCCTATAAGCCAGTAATAAGTAGTTGGAGGGTGAAGTGGAAAAGCGCTCACTTACAATAGTAATAAAGTTACATTAAATACCTAGGCATAATCTTAACAGAAACAATCAGGGCTTACAGAAAAAAAAATCATACACAAACACAATGAAATTTTCTTGACAGATATAAACTTTTAAATATAAAAGAAGAGCTGTATTATGATCCTGAATAAAAATGCTATTTATTGTAACGATTTACCTTCTTCCCAAATAAACTTATAAATTTAACTCCAAAATCCCTGGAACATTTTTAGAACATGTACATTTTTTCAGATAACCTCTATCCATACACATGTGTGTATCTGTATGTGTATTATACATAATAAATATTATATAAAATATATTATACTGGATATTATTTGAATAAATGAACAGACAAGAATTTTTAACATCTTAAAGATGAGTAACGAGGAAGGACTTGTCTTCCAGATAGTAAAATGGTACAGCCCATAATAAAGAAACCAGCATGGAATTCTAACAAGACTAGATAAACATATCAGTAGAACAGAGTCAATAGTCTAAAAACAAACCTTGTCTATTTAAGAAATTCACAGATACCATAGAAGACTAAAAAGATAAGCAGGGAAGGGAAAGTTTAGGACATAACCCTATCCTGTCACCTCTCAGTATGCTCCATTTAGGTAAATTCAGAGAGATTAAGGAGGTCAGCATAAAACAGCACAGCATTTTTTTAAACTGGAAGAAAGTACAAGAGAATCTTTATACAATTCTGGATGACAGGGAGAACTTTCTAAACTTAAAATTAGTGGACTGACTGCATCACACAAGAAAGAGTCAGTGAATTTGACTATATGCAAATGTAGCTCTTGGAAAAACCAATTTTTAAAAAAAGGACTGAGGGGGAGGGTATGTAGGTCAAGTGGTAGAATGCATGCTTAGCATGCACAAGGTCCTGGGTTTAATCCCCAGTGCCTCCATTAAAAAATTAATAATAAAATATATAAATAAATAAACCTAACTACCTACTCCCCTGCAAAAAAAAAAATTTTTTTAATTTTAAAAAGGACTGAAAAGGCAAAGAACAGACTGAGAGATATATTTAGAGCACATAACACAGAAAAGGCTTAATAGTGTTTCTCTTGATGAAGAGTGTATACAAGAAAAACATTAAGACCCCATTCAGAAAATTGATGAGCAGTAAGAGGAGGCAAGTCACAAAGAGGAAATTCAGTGGATAATAAAACTCAAATATCTAATTTAAATAATCTAGCAAATAAAAAATGTGGAAGACACGCCATTTTTCAGACATCCAACCAACCAAGTTTTAATGGCTTACGTTTTGCTGACGTGGACAGGATGGACTGGGCACTCGGAAAAGCTGCTGGAAGAAATATAACTGATTCAACCATACAGAAAGCAATAAGGCAGTTGTGGGCATCAAACACAGTCATGCCCTATACTTCTAGGATTTGGTCCTCAGAAAATAACCAGAGATGCTAACAAAAAAGTGTGCCCAAAGATTTGTTACCAAATAATTTACAATAGCAAAAAGAAAGGAAACAAGGTTAACATCCATCAATTAGGAAAATGATAAAGTATATAATGAAATATAATGCACTGATAATTATGCTTAGAAATGTTTTTAATTATGAGGAAAATTCTCGTGTGAAGTGAAAATGAGAGGGTTTTTTTAATGTCATACACAGTAAAATCTCAACTAACTTTTAAAATAGGCATAGAAAAAAAAAAGATTAAAAAGAAGTAAACCAAGATGTTAACAACTGGTTGCCTTGGGCATTAAGGCAGATACAAGGTTCTTTATTTTTACTAACTTCTTCATTTTTTTCCTGTACTTTCCTAAGTGCCAACAATGAGCATTTATTATTTCCAAATCATAGTGGGGAGAAATAAATGCCTGGATAGGGCTGTTTAATAGTGTGATAGGCAACCTAAACCTTACATGGCAAAAAAGGAACTTTGCAGATGTAATTAAATTAAGGATCTTGAGATGGAGAGATTATCCTGGATTATCTTGGCGGCCCAATATAATCACAAAGGTCCTTAGCAGAAGGAGGCAGGAGGATCAGAGTGAGCAAAAGAGAGGTGACAATGGAGCAGAAGCTGGAGTGACGTAGGGCCACACGCCAAGGAAGGCAGGCAGCCTCTGGGAGCTGGAAGAATTGAGGAATCGGATTCTCCCCCCAGAGTCACCAGGAGGCATGCTGCCCTGCTGACTCATCTTAGAATTCTGATCATTAGACTGTAACATTATAAATGTGTGTTGTTTTAAGCCACTAAGTTAGTAATTTTTCCCAGCAACCCTAGGACTCTGATGTAGATAGCCATTGCATCTTTGGTTGCCATGTCTCAACTGAGCATTTAGTATTAGGTCTGCCCCTTTTACTCTCTATCCACTCACATCTTCAACCCTTCCATCCAGGTGCCCACTCCCCATGAACAATGGCAGAGTACTGCTGTCAGAACCCTCCCGCACAGGGGCAGCCCAGAGCTCCAAGAGGCAGCACCCTCATCATGCATGGTTACTCTCAGCCCAGATGATGGGGACTAATCCCTGATCAAGTGGAAGCTGGGCCCCAGTGGGGAGGTGACTGGCTCACTGTCTAACAGTCAGGACTGGACCCGCCTGGATCTGGATCAGCACACTTGCGATCTTGTCCATCTCTGCCACCACTTATGGTGAGGCTTCAGTTGGGAAAGGCAGCTAATTTTTCTGTGAAAAACTTATGGTAATTGAAAGTCTCTCTCTTTTCTCACAGAAAATGAATGCTGTAAAGCTCGGTGGGAACTTCCTGGTTGATTTGTGTGTGTGCGTGTGTGTGTACTTTTAAAACAGTGAACTCTTCAGAAGAGGGAAGCAGTGCTGGTTAAATGTGCTACTTGCAATCAGAATTTCCATGGGAGATGCTGGTGACAGGTGGCACAGAAGTTCACATTGGCAACTGGGTTCCTACTAGCACACAGCTGTGTCTGTTCCGCTTCAGAGAAAAATTCCCACTCTGCCTCGAGATCATTCTTAAACCAAAGCATGCAAGCGCACACACCCGCACTACCCAAAACTGCTCACCGCCAAGTTCCCCTGTTCCCAGGTGTCGGGGGGGAACAAGCAGTCCTTTAAGTGCATTCCTTGCTTTTCAGTTTGTCTCCTAACTTCTCACCCAGTTTCTACCCCAAAACTCTAGGCTGAGCCACACATCTCTCTTCTCCCCTAAGACCTTTTCCCCAAATAGTTAATAGTAGCCTCCCAATCGGCCCCACCAGGCTGTTGCGAAGCGAGGAAGGACATCACAAGGCCTTTCCGTTCCTTAGCCGTACCAAGGCCAAGCTCATTTCCACCACAGAGCCTTTGCGCTTGCTCTTCCTGTGCCTGAAAAGCTGTCTCTGATCTGAAGTGCCTGCTCCTTCTTGTCTTCCAGGTCTCAGCTCAGATGGCTCCTCCTCAGGGGGCTCCTTGTAAGCCCACCCTGTGAAAGGCACTCCCACTGGCCCGTGAGTCTCCCTCACTGTGTCAGGGCGTCTAGCTCAGCTTTGTTCGCAGCACCTATCACTGCTTGGAAGTATCATTTTCTTGTCCATGACTGATGGGATGAATAATCAAATTAGACCACATGAAAGAGTCATAGGTCACATCGGGGTGTCTGGGTGCCCTGAATACCCTCTTCTGGAGCCTCAGATCCAAAGGTGACCACAGAATGGCAAACGCTACCCAGCAACTTTCCTCAGAACTTGACTGCTCCTGACACTTCTCTCTGTTCCTTGATTACTTCCTTATTGAGATATAATTCATATACCATGAAATTCACCCTTTTAAAGTGTAGAGCTCAGTGGTTTTGTAGAACTTTCACAAAACTATGCAAACGTCACCACCAATTCCTGAACAGTTTCATCAGCCCAGAAAGAAACCCCATACTTATCAGTGGTCCCTCTCCCTTACTCCCTCCCCCAGCCCCTGGCAACATAATAATCTACCTTCTGTCCCTATGAATTTACATATTCTAGACATTTCATATGGGTGGAATCATACAATGTATGGCCTTTTGTGTCTGGACTCTTTCACTGAGCTTAATGTTTTCCAGGTTCATCCAGGTTGTAACATGTGTTAGTATTTCATTCCTTTTTATGGCTGAATAGTATTCCATGGTCTGGGTATGCCACATGTTACTTATCCATCCATCAACTGATACACATTTAGGTTGTTTCCACTTTTTGGCTGTTATGAATTATGTTGCCATGAACAGTTGCATACAAGTTTTTCACATGGATAAATGTCTTCAGTTCTCTTGGATATATACCCAGGAGTGGAACAGCTAGGTCATGTGATAACCACCTGTTTAACATTTTCAAGAATGTCAAATTGTTTTCCAAAGTTGCTGCACCATTTTACATTCCCACGGGCAATATCCTCTCCAGTTAATGTTAAGACTCTAAATTATTCAGTTCTAAGAAAGCGGAACTAGAAAGATTTGGTCAGGAGGCAATCATATTGTTCCCTCTCCGTTAGATGCATTCACTCATTCAACTAATACTTACTATTGTCTAATCTACACCTGGTATGGCTGTAGGCACAAAAATCCCAGCCCTCCTGAAATTTACATTCTTTCAAGGCAGGGAAAGGAAGAGGACAAACAATGGAGAAAAACAATGCAGAAGAATTACTATTTTAATTGGAGTCATCAATGAAGGCCTCAGTGACAAGGAAAGATGTGAACGATATGAGGACTGGAGGCTGTGGCTATCTGAAGAAGAGCACTATGGGCAGTTTGAACAGCAAGTGCAAAGGCCCTGAGGCAGGAGTGTGTCTGGCATGATCAAAGAACATTTAAGAGGCCAATGTGGCTGGAGTGAGTTGAGCCACAGGGAGCGGAGTAGGAGATTAGAGAAATGATGTGATGAGGGTACCCAGATGGTGAGCATCTTGTACCCTCTGTAAGGACTTTGGATTTTCACTCTGAGTAGGCTAGGAGGTCATTGGAGGGTTTTGACTAGAGGAGAGAGAGGCTCTGGCTTACATTTTCAAGATATTAGTATGGGATATGAGAGGAGAGATGGATGCTCCTGGGTTTTGCCTGATCACCTGAAAAGATGGAGTTGCCGAACACAAGGATGGGAGAGGAAGGGACTCGAGGGGTGAAGATGTGGTCAGGTCATATTTGAAATGTCAACATCTGAGTGAAATTGTCAAATGGACAATTGGATAGAAGATTCTTGAGTTCAGGGAGATGTCCAGGCTACGGATACAAAATCAGAAGTCATCTGTATAGAGACGGTATTTAAAGCCAAGAGAGAAGATGAGATCAACAAGAGAGTGACTCTAGATAGAGAAGGCACCCAAACACTGAGCTCTGAGGCCCCCCAGCATCCCTTTAATCAAAATGGTACCCTTCAACTTCAAGGACTTCAACCTCCATCTCTGTTCACCTCTCAGCCCCTCCTCTCCTCTTCTTCTACCAAGCTTACCTCCTCTTGACCTTTCCACTTCTTCAGCGACTTCTACTGTTTCCTTCTACCCCTAAAAGTCTAGAATCACCTCTCTCTCCCAGTCTGCTTCCCTTCCTTCCAGGCTCCCTTTACCCTCACTCCTTCCCCAGAGCCTTCCCTTGCTCATCACACATTCCAGAAGGTGACCATGCAAGAACGAGTACTCACCAGCCCTGCTGAGCAACCAGGGCTCCTCTGCTTTTCCCTGACTAGGGAACCCATCCATGTGCCCATTTGAATTATCAGCCCCTGGGTGGTCAGGAGTTATGCCTGGTGCTGGTTTCATTATTAAGACCATGCTCCATATTTCTGCATTGGCAACCATGGGCACTGAAACACCGAGTGAGGGAGTGAGTGGATGAAACACACAGGGTCATGACTGGGAGGAACTACTTAGAAATGGGGTTGGTTTCTCAGTAGGTCACCTTGCTAGATCACCTCCCCCACCCCGCCAGCCACTTCCTCCTGCCCAATAAGCCTTCCCCATGAATGCAGACCCAGGGCCCACTCACCTGAAAGCCAGAGGATGAGAAGGAAGAGCAGAAGCAGGTGCATCTTCTCTTCACACAGGTCCCCCTTGATGGAGCCTCTTAGCAAAAATCAACTACAGCCTCCTTCATCTTCCAACCCTTCTGCTTTCGCTCACTCTTGCTCTTGCACTTCCTCCTTCAGTCCCTTCCCACTGGTGAATAACTAAAAGAGGAAGGAGGTAGAACGGGTAAGATTTCAAGGCAGTTAGCAATGCAAGAAGAGATTATGAATAAATTCTTGAGAAATACCTCCCTGTCCAGAGTCATGGTGGGTTTTCTAAAAGAAGAAATTTTGTGATGCCTTCTTGGTCTTGAAGTTTGCGGACCCACCAGGTCCAACCAGCTCTTACTTAAGCCTTCCCCTCTGGTGGGAAGATTGGGTTGGGGGAAACCCAGCTCCTTCAGAGAGGAAGTGGGGAGCCAAGTCTGATGGACACAATGCCCTATACATGGCACTTCAGGGGTAGTCAAATTCCTAGGAGTCTGGAGGATCAGGAGTTCACCTGCATTATGAGGGGGCCGAAAGCAGAAGGGTTGGAAGGTGAAGGAGGCTGTAGCCTGTTCTCGCTGACAGGCTCCACCAGAGGAGAGATTCTAGATTCCAACTAGACCAGAGATTGGAATGAGGGGTTGAGGGTGATATCAAAACCCAAAATACCTACTAAAAGAAAGGGACTCAAAGAGTAGAGACACATGCACAGGGAAGTACTGGTCCAATGGGCAAGAAGGGCCTCTGTCCTGAGAACATACCCGAAACTCTGATCACTGTGCCCTAGCTTACAAGGTGAGAACCCGTGGATATCGACTCCAGCCTGAATCCTCCAGAAACTTGTCAATTATACCTTCCTGAAGAATCCAGCTCATTGTTCATGGCTATTAACCCCTCGCCCCTCACCCTCCAACACACACCTTATAATAACTGCCTGTTGAAGTGGGAAAAAAAGAAACAGCAGCTTTGCCCATCTGGCTCCCCTCTTTCTGACAACCTTGTGACCAGCTCCCACTTCTCTCCCCCATCAGAGTCCCAGCAAGGCCTGGGGTGAAGCCCAGAGGTTGGAAAAGGATTGGTTCTTTCTCATATTTTGCTCCTCGATCCACTTTTGCTGTGTGCCACACATACCCTGTGACATCTTGAGGAGTGAGTGGGTCCCAGGCAGAGACAGAAGCCACTCACATCCTCATCAGGAGTGGGTAGGCATCAGGAGGGTTATTTGCACAGAAAAACACTGCAGCTGATAAGACAGGGCTTCCCAGGATGTGGCCAGAATCAGTCTCTCACTTTACATATCTCCAGGCCATAAGGTCAACAGTATGGGGTGAGAGCTAGGTCAGCCCCTGGTCCCCACTGCTGGGCAAACTCATCCTTGGCCCATAGCACTGTACAGTTATGCTGAGAGACATCAGGCCTCAGCAAACAGGGACACCTGTTTGGCTTCCAGGAGAAATGGCTGAGGAATTAAGCAAGATGGTGCACCTGAAACACAAGGGGCAGATGCTTCGAGAGATACAGAGTAAGCTTTCCTTTCTTGGGCACAGGCAGTAAGGCATGAATAGTCTCTGAGCTGCTCAAATTTCTGCCTGTGGTCCAACCCTCTGATCCTGGATCAAGAACAGAGATTTCCCCTTTGAATCAAGAAAAGAGAATCCTCAGAGCATCTCTGAGTGATCTCTGCTGAGTCTGTTCCTCCAAACAAGTGCCTCTGGGGACTGGAGGAGCATCAGGCTATTCTGGGGGTGCTGTGTCCTCAAAGTCCCATAAGAGACCCTTGTCCTTACTTGGCCATTGATATCTACGTGAGTCAGTTACCTCAGCAGGCCTCCCTGTCCCCACCTGTGAAGGGAGGCACTAGGCAGATTATCTGAGATGCCCCCTGCCCTGAAGCATCTGTGTGTGTGTGTGCATGCATGCGTGAATGTGAGAGTCCGTGGGCACATGTGTGCATGCATGTATGAGCATGTGGCGGTCTCTTCGTGTTTGTATGTGGGCCTGTGTGTGGGCACTGTGTTACACGTGTGCATTGCACTGTGCATGCTGGTTCTCTGTGCACACATGGAGTGTGTGTGTGCTCGTGTATTATGTTGTGTTGATGCAATCACTGGGTTCTGGTTACAAGGAACAAAGACTCGCTCAAGCTACGTCTCTTGGTCATATCAGACTTAACAAATCACAATCTTTTCAGAACCCAATCTGTTCTCAGGTGGAAGAGCTCCTGTATTGAAAGGGCTGGTTTCGATGAGCCTCTCCCACTCTGGATTAGAAAGTCCACAAAAAGTCTGTGGCAAGACCCACTTGAGAATTCCAAAACCAAAGTCTAAATCAGGTGGAACTGAAGAAAACCAAGGAACTAAGCCTCTCAGGTGACAAACAAGAAACAGTGTTCAACCAGGCTTCATCAGGACCAGAGCAGATGGTTGCCCACAATCCAGGCCCCTCGGGGCTGAAGGGGCCTCACTCTGGGCTCTGCCACCATGACAGTGGCTCTGCTGTGTCTCCCTTCTTGGCTTCACTCACCAGGGCTTCTAGCTCCTTCCATCTTTGTGGAAGTGAGGAAGTGAGGCAAATTTTTGCCACGAATCTGACGGAGCTTAAATGTCAGCACCCTTTCCTCCATCAGGCTCCTATATAAAACTTTGTATTCATACTTTGGGGATCCTTTTTTCTTAAAAGGAGCCCCCAACGATGTATAAGCTTCAGGCCTATGAGAGATTGTCCCACCCTAGATATCTACCCCATAGCTATTTGACCCCAAAGCTCTTCTCACAAAGAGGTAGAGTCTGCCCCACTTCCCCTTGAGTTTGGACCAGACTTGTGACCTACTCTGCCCAAGAAAATGTAAGTGATGGTGCACCACTTCCAAACCCCAGCCTCTGGAGGCTTCCTGCATCTCCTCTTGTTTCCAGGCACCTCTGCTTCTGCCTTGAGAAGACATCAGGCTAACCTGTGGCTGGACTGAGAGACACATGGAACAGAGCTAGGCTGCCCTAACCAACAGCCAGCTGACCCTCAGACTCGCCAGAGAGCCCGTTTGAGGCCAGAAGGAACGTCCAGATTAAATTGCCGACTCACAGACTTGTCGCGGGCCACTGAGCTTGGGAGAGTTCATGGCAGCATTATTGTGGCAATAGAAAACTGAAAGAAGACCCCACAAAAGCTAGACCCTCCCCTACAGCAGCTGCCTCATCCTCCACTCCATGGCTTTGGCTGCCCCATGACTTCTGTTCACTCAAATCCTCTGTCCTTCTGACTTTCCCTCACAGCTCCTCAAGGATGGCGCCTCCTGCCCTTCCTGTCTCAAGACCCCCACCCTCACTTCTCCCTTTGATGTGGTTCAGATCAGAATAAACCTTGGGCCAATAGAACCATCTGTGGCTTGTGATTCAAAACAAGTTGGTCAAAATTACAAAAGCAACACATGTTCATTTTAGAAAAATAAATTGTGAAATACAGATAAGGGCAAAAACAAAAAGACTAAATTGAATTTAATCTCATTACTCTGAGATAATCACTTTTAACATCAAGGTTTATACTTCACTCATCCTTTATCTCTTCCTGCAGAAATGCAAGATTATTCCAGAAATCAGGTGGAGTCACCAATGTAGGAGCTCATGTCACTCACTGCTCAACAGATTTCTGCCACAAACAATACTGTCTCCCTTGGGGAAAGATGTCATGTAAAAGACATGTCATCAAGAAGCGTGGTTTTAAAGCTTTGGAGAGCCAGCTCACATTTCTTTTTGGTGGAAATGCCTCCAAGGACAACAACCACAAACCCCCTCGTGGTCACTTTGGTCTTCCAATCTAAAAATCTTTTCACAACCCAACGTGTTCACAGATGAAGGAGCTCCTGTATTGCAAGGGCCGGGTTCGTTGGGTCTCTCCCACTGGGTTAGAAGGTCCATGAGCATTGCATCCCCAGTGGCTAAAACCACATTTGGCACATAGTATATGCTCAACAAGCAATTGATGGAAAATGAATAAACCAATGACCTATTGTTCCTTCATTGTCATTCTTCCCCTGGCCCTGTAAGCTCTGCTAAGAAACTCTGTCTAGCACCCAGGAACCAGTCATAAGGCATAATTGTTCTCAGCAACTCTTTTAGAAACCTTTCCGTTCATGTTGGACCCAACTGTAGTCCATCTTTTCTAGCCACTATGTGCTATGCTCCGTATTTCATGTAGTTATTGCATTGAATCCTCACTACAAATCTAGAGGAAAGGCAATGTTATCCCCACTTTTCAGGTAAAGAAATCAAGGCTCAGAGAGCAAGTAACTTGTCCAAGGTCACATGGCTAGTAATCAGCAAAGTCCGGATTAAACCCTGGGTGCGGCCCATATAAGCATTCCATCCTGCTAAAGAGGCCGAGAGAGAAGCCAGCTGCCCTTTGATCCTGGTCAGTGCTGACAATGAAGAAACCTGACATCAAAGAGTTAATAAGACAGAGCATTCTTGAGCTGGTTGTCATCCGGGTATCCACTCCAAGGCTGTTTTGAAAACAGCTTCCCCCAAAATGAAAAAATGCTTTATCGTGAACTGGAAACTGATTTAACAAAGCAAGTAACTGATAACACCAACGCTGAACATTTTCCAGGTCTAATGCCCCTCTGCTCTGCAGTCTCTGGAATGCAAAATTGAGTTTCTACCAAGCCCTTATCAGGGAATTCAGGCAGAGGCAATGCTTCTTTTTGAGAAAAACACAGGTCTCCGAAGAGTGTGTTAACCTGCTGCAAGGATGAGAAGATGAAAACGCTCTCTGATTTTCAGAACAGAGGGTCTGTCATCTCTGCCACCTGCTCCTCGGATATCCAAGGTGGTAACGCCTGCTGAAAGTGACAAAACGGAACAGTTGCTGCTCAGACTCCTTCTGCTCAAAGAGCTTGATCTTTTTTTAAGCACCTTTTAGCATGCTAGATTTACTTGGAAAAATATAACCAAGCGTTTTTTTTAAGCAACAGTTAGGCTAGACACCGGCATTCCTCTTGGCTTTTACCTGAGTTGTCTTATCTCATCCATGCTTCCCCAACACGTTACACAGACGCTTTTCTTATCACAGAAGTAATGGTTATTCGTTGATGAAGAATAATAAAATACAGATGACCACAAAGAGTGCATTGTAAATAAACCCTAAGCCTGCCACAGAGACA